CCGGGCGGGCTCCGCGGGCCAGGAGCGCGGCCCGGTCTAATATGCCCGGAACCGAGGCGCGATGAAGGAGAAATCCAAGAACGCGGCCAAGACCAGGAGGGAGAAGGAAAATGGCGAGTTTTACGAGCTGGCCAAGCTGCTCCCGCTGCCTTCGGCCATCACCTCGCAGCTGGACAAGGCGTCCATCATCCGCCTCACCACGAGCTACCTGAAGATGCGCGCCGTCTTCCCCGAAGGTGAGGCCTCAGGGGCGCCGGGCGGCGTCGGCCGAGCGGGGAGCCGGGGCGGCCGTGGGGCCGCCTCCCGCGGGTCAGCTCTGGGCATCTTGGCAAGGCCGCGGCGGGGCTTCGGCCGCTCAGCGAGGCCCAGTCTTGGTGGCCCGTGGGCCCGACGGCCTCCGGCGGGACGGGGCGAGCGGGAATTGTTTCGGATGCTGGTTCATTTTGGCCTCTCTCTCACTTTCTCCATTCTTCCCCCTCCCTACCTTTTGTCCTTATTTTCTTTCCTCATTTCTTTAACTCCCCTTTATTATTTTCTTTCCTCCACTCTTACCTCTTTTTTCCAGAAGGGAAGCATGTAAGTGCGTGCGCGCACACACCCTGGGGGAAGGTGCTTGCTGCTCCCACCCGGGAGTGAATTACTCATGAGGCCCAGGCCCTGTGTGCTCCAGCGCAGAGTGGGACAGAGGGTGATCGGGGCCTCGGGTCACCTCCCAGGTCACCTCTTTGCTCCCGGCTCTGGGTTTCTGGGGTGCAGGAGAGACAAGCAGTAGCAGCACCTTTCCGCCAAGGCCCCCTGCGAGGGAGACCAGGAGGTGGTTCATTTGAAAATTGGAGTCAGGCCTTTCGGGGCTGGAGTGATAACCCCTGGGCAGGGGCCGTGGGGAGCAAGGGCCCCCAGCACCTGCAGGTGCAGCAGAAACGGTGGCCTTGACCTGTGGGCATGCGGTGCTGACCGGCAGCACAGCCTGCCGGCCTGGGGGGCTGTGCACCTCTGGGCAGCAGGACCGCGGGAGGCCCTGGGCTGGCCTGTGTGTCTCGTGCCTCTAAGACCCGCTTCTCCCAGTGTCTGTCCCCTGCAGGAGTTGCCACCACTGGTGGGAGAGAGTCTGAGACGTGGCTGGGTGCTCTGTGCCAGGATGGGGGGCCCTCAAATATCCCAGGAGAGAGACCCCTGAAGTTTATGCCTCCGGGTCCCCAGAAGCCCTGGCGGCACTGGAGGGTGCTGCCATACTGGAGCCGGTGTCCCTGGGTGGCAGGGTGTCCGCAGCCGGGAGTGACCAGCCTTTTGCATTAGAGGCTCCAAGTCTGTTGCCAGTCATGTGTCTGACCTGGAGCCCAGTTAACTCTCGGTCGTTGGTGCCACAAGACATGGCCTGTCCTGCAGCACGGCTAGCAGGGGACCCAGGCCCAGGAGCCAGTGGCCAGAAGCGGAGGCTGGAACTCTGGGCACCTCCCAGCCGGCCAGTGCGTCCTTCTCCTCCCTCAGTGGGTACCCCACTGGTCTGAGCCAGCCCAGAACCCAGCGGAAGCCCTTTGCGTTTCTGTCCAGTCCCGGATTGACCCCCCCCTTCCAGCCCCAAAGCAGTCCCTCCTCTGGAGTAGAGGTTTTCTCTAGGATTGACTCTCCCAGCCCCCCCACCCCCCCATGGAGCGGGCAGCTAACTGGCTTGCCTGGGGAGCTGCATAGCCCGAGTGAGTGCTGCAGAGCAAGGTAGAGCAGGGACCAGCCCAGCCTCTTCTCCCACCGCCCCTGCCCTGATTAGAAATAAAAACTTAGGGAGAAACATGGAGATGAAATGACTTGTTACTGATGGTTTCAAGTAAGTTCAAAAGAGGAGTGTGGAGAAAGAGGCTAATTAGAAGCCGTTTGTCGGTGGGGGAATTTCCAGGAAAGCCTGCTAGAAATCCGGAAGTTGGCGTCAGCCCGTTTAAACTGGGCTTGTGTGTTCTCTGGGGAATGCGTTTCCACACATTTGGGCCCAGAATTGCTTGGCTCTGAGCTGACTGGGGGCCTGGGTCTCGGACACAGGCCGGAGTTACGCCTGCTTGAGGGGTGGCTTGCGTGTCTCCTGGGAGGTTCCTGCCGCCTGCAGTTCAGGAGGTATTGCAGGGAAGCTGTTTGTACCTACAGGGGCATTTTGGAAATGCCCCTGACCCTGGGGGTTCCCACTGGGGACTGAGAGGAGGTGCTGGTCTGGTCCCCAGCTCACATGCACAGCTGCATCAGGGAGCATTGGGCCGGCACTGGCCTGGAGGAATTTGCGGCAGCCTCTGAATGCTTCCAGGCTCTGGCAGAGGTCACCCCCACTAGATGTGGGCCACTACAAGGCTCCCCTCAATCACAGCAGCCCCGGTAGTCTGTACCCCTAAGTGGGTCTGAGGGGAAGATGCATTTAAAAGACCTTAGATATGCAAAACAACCTGCAGGCCTGAGTAGCCCCAGGTCAGAGGGGTTGGAAGCAACTATCTACAGAATGATCTAACCTGTTCTGGGCATGGGAGCTGAGCCGCCCGGGATGAGGTGCAGGATTGGGTGGGGTTTGGGGCCCACAGAGTCAGGCCCGGCCTCAGCCTCTGGGCCTCGGAGGGCTTTACGGCTAAGGCTGCCTTGCGCTGCAGCTTGAGTTCCAGACCTAGTCCAGCTCCTGGCTGCAAGCAGACCGATGCTGCACGGCCCTGCATGCCAAGCGCGCCTCCCTGTTCAGTAGCCCAGAGCAAGCGGGGCTCCTGGCAAAGAAGGCTCTAGAAGCCAAGTTAGGACTCTAGGAGCAAAGAGCAGGTCAAGGAGCTGCAGGAAGCGCAGACTGTTTCTTCATCCCTGAAGCCTCTGAGGCCGGCGAGGGCAGGCCACGGCAAGGGCCCAGACCCCGGACTGCCTGTTCCCCGGCATGCCACGCCACGGGCCAGGCCCTGTCTGGCCTCTGCTCCTTTCATCCGGAGACCCCCAGACAGGAGTAAGAAAGAGGGGCTCAGAAGAGCCCCCTGCCCGGGAGGCTTGGGGGCACTGGCACTTTCACAGCTGGGTAAAGCGCTGCTCTGTCAAGCTGCCCTGCGGGCCTCGGTCTGCTTGTCTGTAAAACAGGGCGCTTCCTGTGTGCGCCGGCCTGTGCAGGCAGCTAACCTGCTCTTACTCCGCTCTCCTCCTCGAGGGTCAAACAGTGCCTGCCAGCTCTGGTGCTGTGGGGGGCTTGCTCCCCAGCTATCTTCCTTCAGGTTTGACTCAGGAAACTACTGGGAGGCTGATGGGGCAGGGGAAGAGCCGGGGCTGGCTTTGGGATGGAGGCTGGGGGCTGGGGCCTGCTGCCCAGCCCAGGCCAGCTCCAGGCCGAGGTACCGGCTCCACTGCAGGGTGCCGGCCCCACGGACAGTTCCACCACCCAGTAGCCCCCAGTGGTCCACAATAGGCCAGGTTTGGTGCTGAAGACCCACTACAGGGAGGGTCTGTGACGTTCATCACCCCCTTCACTTAAAAGAAGCGATGATGTCACTCGCACAGAGAAGTGGGCTTGGAGGCCAGAATTATGCCGGTGTTAGCATTGGTTTGGGTTCGAATTCAGTCAGCTCTTCTCCCCCAACTGCCTCCAGTCAGGAGGGCCCTCCTAAAACATTCACACTGAGACTGTAAATGCTTTGGTTTAGAGGGTGTGGGGAGGGCGCACACACCCTAAGCCAAGTAGGGGTCACAGACCCCAGGAGTCTTCTGCTGCCCCCTGAAGTAATGTAGATTTTTAAATTTTTTACTGATTTTTAGAATAATATATTTTTACAGCCCTCTCTCCACCTCCTCCCAGAAGGAAGCCTTCCAGACTACACTCTGGTCCAGAAGGGAAAACTCACACTCAGGGAGCAGAAACAGGCAGTGGTGAAGGGAACGAGGTGCTGGGGCACCCGGGAGGCTGGAGGAAGGAGCTGGAGGTGGGGAGCACCCCAGATCACCCCTGGCTCCCAAGCCCCACCCCTGCTACTCTCTGGGGAGCTTAAAGGCAGCCTCTCTCCCTGGAGAGGCTGATGGCTAGGGGGCTCCATCCCCAGCTCAAGTTTCAAGACCTTGGGAGTTGGAGGGTACTATCAGCGGCCTGGGGTCTGGGTCTGGGCGCTGGCGCTGGGCCGGCAGGGGGACCTGGCAGGCGCCTGCTGGACCCACTGGAAGTGCCCTTCCCTCCCTCACTGGCCAGCGGTCAGGCTGACCGGAGCCTTCCTTGGGGCATCCCTCCCTAACACCCTCTCCCAACAGCGTCCCCAGCACACAGTGACTCTGGCTTAGGAACGCAGGGGGGCAGGTTTTCAGGAACCCGGAGGAAAGGAGCACTTAGCGGCCCCCTAAAAGGCCGGAGGAAGCCCAGAGCCTTGGCTGCTGACTGGGATCCTGGAGGGGGGGAGGAGGAGGGGGGGGGGACAGAGGTGTTTTAGAGACACATCACCACAACCTCCCCAGCTGCTAGTGCCTGGGGAGCCAGAAAGGGGTGACTACCTACCCTCCCTGCAGGCGCAGGTGGCTCAGAACCCATCATCCTGGGGTGATGGCGTGGGGGGCAGGGAGAGTGAGCAGAGGGGAGCTGGGCCGAGCTGGGTACTCTCCTGCCACTCCCTCACGGCCTTCCACTCCTGAGTGGTTCGCCTCAGATGACTCCAAGCTCCCCAGTATACACCCCACCCCCATCCCCATCTTGGGCAGGGGAAGTAGTCCTGGGGGGGAGGGGAGGGTGGAAGGAGGAAGGGGAAGAGCAGGAGGGAAGGCTGGCCCAGCCCGAGCTTAGGCCCAGCTAAGGCCGCAGCAGGGCGTTGCAGGGAGTTTCGCTCTGTTAATCCCATCGCAACTCCAGTGTGGCCGGGAGAAGTGGAGGTGAGCTGAGGAGGCAGCTGACCGCCTGGCATCTTCAGTGGTCAGGAAGAGGGGCGCTGCAGAGTTGGGGCCTGGAGTTCTCCTCATCCCAGACCCAGCTTTCCTGGGGGTTCCCTGTTGTTAGTCCTGTGAGGAGTCTTTTGTCACTCAAGACATCCAGGGAGTGTGAGAACCAGGACCCTTCTCGGTGCTTTTCTGAAAGTCCCGAACCTCTTTCCTGGGTGGGGGCTGCGTAGACCACTGGCCCCAGTGAGTGTGCAGCCGGGTCCAGAGGAACCCCAACCATCTTGCAGGTGCTAAGACAGCCCCTCCACTGGCCGCCCTGGCTGCAGAATCTTAGGTCTGGTCCCTGTTAGGGCCCCTGACCTGCTTCTGAAGGACAGGGCGCCTCCCACCCCAGACCTTGGCACAGCACAGCAGGCGCTCAAGACTTTGTTGACTGACCGAACTGGCACCCAGAGAGGAGGAACTCACTTTGGGGGGCTTCCAGGTGGGAGGTCCTGGTGGGTTTAAGCACAACAGCCAGGGTGTGGGTGCCCAGAAACAGGTATCCACAAATCCTCAGAAGCAGCTGGGGTACAAGGACTTGAGGTCTCTTTCCTTCTGCTCCTACCCCTGGTGACCTGGCCACCTGAGTCCCCAGTCACGGGATGCCCCCGAGGGCTGACACTTGAAGAGCAAGAGAGAGCCCAATCCTGAGTGTGGCCAGGAAGCCGCACTGCCTTGAGCCCCAGGCACAGGCTGTCCGCACCCACAGAGGGAAGGGAGGCCCGGGATGAGACCAAGGCTTGCCAAGGTCCGTGAGCTTGGAGCTAACCCAGCCTTTTCTCACGCCTCCCCTCATTTTTCTAACAACTAAAACCCTCTGTCCGGTGTGGACAGGGCCGCATGCCCAGCGCCTACTTGCCAGGAGCCCGTGCGGCCGTCCAGTACCCCAGTAGAGGCCATCTTACTGTCACTGCACGCCTTACCTTACGGAGCCCCCGCATTCCACCCAAAGTGGATTTTTATGGGCCAAATGAAAAGATCTCGCCCACCGCGGTTTCTAATGGAAGAGCTGGCAGCCCTGAGGCCGGGGGTGAGGTGGCATGGGGAGAAGCTTGGGGGGAGCCTCCTGCCATCTGCCGCCCCCAGGGTCCTGGGCGGGGCTTTGGGCTAAATCTCTGGCAAAGCCACAAAGAGGAGGAGTGGGAGAGAGCGGGGAGAGAGGGTAAGAATGAGCGAACCTGCCTGGCTGGTGGTCAGGTAACTGGGGTGCTTGCCAGTGGCCCAGGGCTTTTGCTAGCGCCCAGCCTTCGCTTTCGGAAGAGGGTGCACAGAAATGGGTCTGGGGAGGTCTTTCCCCAAAGCACAGGTTCCCCCATAGCCTAGGTCCTGGCAGAGGCCAGCTGGGGGCGCCAGGGTCACCCTGCCTCCCAGGAGAGCAGGGGGTGGCCTGGCCCGACCTGGGGAAGGGCCCCTGGACAGGATAAAAGGCAGTTAGGTGTGCTTTTGCAAATAGAATTCCCGGGTTCTTTCTTCCACATCCTGGGACTTTTACATTTCTGCCCTTTCTATTTCTGGCTACAGGGCCGAGTTTGGGCAGCAGTGGGAGTTAGGGCAGCGCTGGAGGGCACAGCCTCCGTGTGGGGTGCAGCAGGACCTTCCCCTGGGGTAGGAGTCAGGCCGACTGGATTTTGGGGAGAGATGGGGTTAAAGATGTAGCTCCATGGGGAGCTAAGGAGCCTCCAGGGGGAACTGGATAGTGGAAGTGAGCTATTTCCTAGGGCTGACCAGAATAAGCCCCTAGTTCTTAGTCCCAGAGTGAGAAATACAAGTTCACTCCTTTGGTCAGCACAGAACAGCTGGGTCTTGGGGCACCACACCCTCTTGGGACACCCCCCCCCTTGGCCTGCAGGACGGCTCTCCCGCAGGGGGCCTTTTCTCGCCTGAGTCTGAGAAGTTGTGCTGCTGTCCAGGCAGGGACATGGGGCGACTCTGCAGGGTCGTCTGCTCACCACCGCCACCGCAGAAAGGGCCGAGCCTCAGGGGTTCGGCATTCCCGCCGGGCCTCAGGGGTTCGGCATTCCCACGGGGCCTCAGGGGTTCGGGGTTCGGCATTCCCGCGGGCGCCCAGTCCGTGTCTGCGCTGCGATGCAGGTCCGACTCCCTGGCCCTGCTGCTGGGGGGGCTGGGGGCGGGGGTGTCAGCCGAACCCGCTCTCCTCGAGGGTTCAGCCTCGGTGGTGCGGCTGCGGCCCTGGCTGCCGCACGAGTGGGTCCGGAGCGTGGGGTGCCCTTGGCACTGGCCGCGTGCATCCCTCACTGGAGGTCTGTGGGTGAGGCCGGCCCAGACGGCCCTTAGCCGCCCCTCTCCTGGCTTCCAGCTCCTCTGAGCTCCAGAGCAAGCCTGGGAATGCCCGGCACAGCAGCTGAGCCTGGGGGCTTCTCTCCTACAGGAGCGACTTTCCCCTGGGGCATCCTGGGAGGTGGCCCTGAGGTGCAGGCCGACTTGGGGAACCAGTTAAGAGAGGAAGGGGTTGGGGGACCACAGTTACGTGCCAACCGACACCTCCCAGTTGCTGTCCAATTGGTTTGTGACTTTTACCTTCTTCGCCTTTCCAGGCTGGGCATCTGGGGCTGGAAGGGCAGCTGACGGATTCCCTGAGGTTGAAAAAGATCTTTCTGGCTATTTATTTACTTACTTATTTCAGCAGGAAAAGCTTCCACGCCAGCAGCCAGGGCTTTTCTCTGGGCCTCTCTGTCCTGGGGAGAATGTGGTTAGGTGCTCGGGAGCGAAGGAGGGTCCTGGAGAAACAGCAGAGACCCCTCTGGCTAGGATGGCGACCGAGTTCAAAGCAGATTGGATTACTTGGTAGTGGACGGCAGTCCCAGCCTCGGCAGGTGGACTTGCGGGAGGGTGGGCCGACCCGGCCTGACTGCTCAGGTGCTGGACGCCTGGACCAAGGCCTCCACTGGGATTTCTTCTCTGTCCTTTTCTTTTGAATGGAACTCAAAGGGCAGAAGGGAAGGTGCAAATGGTGGCCTGCGGGGACAGGGAAGCAGCACGGGACAGTTGGGACGCCCGGAGTGGACTCTGCGTGCCGTGCCGGCCGGGCTGGGCGCGGCCAGTGAATGGTCTGCTTTGTTTCTCCGTCCAGGTTTAGGAGACGCGTGGGGACAGCCAAGTCGCACCACGGGGCCCCTGGACAGTGTCGCCAAGGAGCTGGGATCGCATTTGCTGCAGGTAGAGTCCCTGCCCCAGAGGGAGGGATGTTGCCGGTGGCTGGGGACCCCTGCCAGCACCCCTGCCAGCACCCCAGGGGCCTTCCTCCCCACCTGATGCCCCAGCTGGGAGTTTGTTCTCCCCAGGACAGCCCCAATGCCAGGTCTGTCCCCAAGCTGCAGAGGTCACGTGCCCCGGGCTCCCCCATGGGCTCAGCTCAACTCTAAGCTGTCCCTACCCTCCTCCCCACCATTTCCCATAGCTCAGGCTCCAGAAACTGACCCTGAAGGCCTGGAGGCAGTGCACCTCTGGGTGTGGCTCGGTCTTTTCCGACCTTCCTGCATTCAAACTTTTCTTGCCGGCTGCTCCCTGCCTCAACAGGCAACGGACAGTGCTGGCCAGGCCGCTCTGAGCCGGACCAGGGCAGCAGCGCGAAGCACCTGGTCATTGTGTGTGGACCGGGCAGTGGGGCAGTGGCCATAACAGGCCGAGTTGGGGTTTACGGTTTATGGGCCAGGTTCTGTCCTGAATGTCTGAGTCTGGCTGCACTCTCTCGCACTGTGGGTTCTCTTTTTGACTTCATGTTTTCAGAGGAGGGAGTTGAGATGGGAGGCCAATCAGTGTCGGGGTCACACAGCAAGCCAGGACGAAACTAGAGCTCTATTCTTGAGGGACCCAGGTCAGCACTGGTGTGGCATTGCGGTCACCTGTGCCACCTAGGGAGACCCTGCGTGGTGTGCAGTCAGCCCTTAGCGTCAGGGCTGAAGTCGCTACACTGAGCGGGGACCTCCGTTTCCTCCCCATGCTGGGGTCATGGCGCCTGGTGAGCGCCCCCACCACTGGCCACTCCTGGCGCTGGCTCTGGGCGCTGGCACAGTGGTGGGCCAGGCCTTTCAATGCCCTTTACAGAACCTCATCAACAACCCGATTCATCTCCCCCTCCCTTCATTTGTCACTGCCGGGGAACCATGCCTGCAGAGAGCTAATTTGCGTTTCCTTCTTGGAGTTTGTGTTTTCTTTAAAAGAAAAAAAAAGAAGTTGGCGCAGGAGGCAGTGACTTGGTCAGTGAGGAGCCAGGAACTCTGATTTTGAAAAAGCAGATATTTTCAAACTCATTTGCCCCAAATGCCCTCCTGTGACTTATTGTAAAAATGCAGTCGCCGGGGGAAGAGAGGGCCCAGGGATATGTGAAACTTGACTGCATCTCCAGTGACTGCATCTCCATCTCCCCAGCCCTTCCCTGAGCCGGGATTTTGCAGGGTGTGTTGTAAGGGACACGAATATCAGGGACAGCAAAGGGCCAGCAAATGCCAATGAAAACGGGCAGGCAGCGTTGATCCCCCAAAGTCCCCACTGCACACGTCCTCCCCGCCAGAGTGTGGATCTCGGGCAGCTTTGCTTGACACAGAGTGTGCAAATCAGGCACTTTGCAGCTCCAAAGGCTTCCCTTCTCTGTTACCTGTGTTAGCTACTGCTGGCAACGTGGAGAATTTAGTGATGGTCATTTTTCTTTCTTAGTCCTGTGGCTAACGGTGAGCTACGATGTCATTAAATATATATCTCCGGAGTGGCTTTGGGTTCAGCGAGAATGCAAAGTGTGCCCAAGCCGCTTGCGACTAGACATTGTATTGTTGCTTTCTATTTTGGAAACCAAGCGACTGAGTGGGGAGCTGTTTTGTAGTTGGGTTAGAGTTGTGACACTGAGGCTTCAGATCTCGATGTAGACTCCCCCTCGAGGAAAGGTAAGGGTCCCTCCGCTGGCAAGAACCTCTGCAGCAGACTGTTGAGACCGCAGAATGTGAGGACAGCTTTCAGGCTTCTGCTGTGTGCTTTTTAATCCTCTGCCCCCAAAGAGGGAGGATTTCAGAAAACCAAAGGTAATCTGGTTTCAATTACATGCTGTAAAAATAGAATTTGTGGCCAGAAATTAATTTGGAATATTTTTTATGGGGGCAGCATTGTGGACTGTCTGACTCTTTTCACCGGCTTTATTGCCTTCGGTTCTGGATCTAGAATAGCAGCGGTTCAGACACTTGGACTTTCCTTTTGCAGGAACAAGGTCGTCTTGTTACCCTTGCCACACACAAATACCAGCCGTACCCCTTTATCTGTCCGTTTCTTGCTTTCAATGTGACTTTACCTTTTGGTCGGCTAGCTAACCAATTTAAGCAAAAACAGAATAGCAGTTGGACAGTTTTCACTTCTCCAGAAATGAGAAATGGATCCGCTTTCTTCATGCACGTTGCAGAGTATTTGATTTCTTGCAAACTTGGTCCAACTAATGCTGTAGAGAAAGTTTGTTAGGATAAAGGGGTGCTTCGTTTTATTTTCTGGGGAGTGGCTGTGTTTGGAATGTATTGTTCAAACGGAACTTGGGGGTAACTAGAAAATGGTGGCATATAAAGCTTACGCCCTAGAGGGCTAAGTGACCGTTGTGCCAGTTAGGGCATAAAATGGTCTCTCCAGTGGCAGATTTCCCCCTAGGAAAGGGACAACTCCGGGTTTGTGCTAAAGGCTAAAATAACCAACCAAGGAAGCCACTACGTTTTAGTGGCGGCGATAGGAATTCTCAAATGCTTTGCACGATTTTTGCGCTGAGGATGTCAAGTTGCTTTTCGGGTGCTGCAAAAGCCGAGGGAGCCTGGCCTGGGGCCCCCCGCCAGTCCTTCCTCCCTCTCGGGATTCGCGGGGAGCCTGAGCGCTGACGCCCCTCGGCGGCGGTGCAGCTGGCCCACCTGACGCCCTGGGGTAGCTACCACCTCTCACCGGACGCTTCTTTTTCAGACTTTGGATGGATTTGTTTTTGTGGTCGCGTCTGACGGCAAGATCATGTACATATCGGAAACAGCGTCCGTGCATTTGGGCTTGTCCCAGGTAGGTACCGCCGACCGTAGCCGGCTAAGTGGCGCAGCATCTCCAAAACTGGGAGAACGAGCGGCAGCCGGCATCTTCCCCTGGGTCGCGACCTGGCTTCGGACTCCGGTTTCCCCCTCCGCCTTACTTCTCTCCTCTTTTTTCACGGTGCGCGCCCACCCCCACCCCCGCAGGGCTCACCCCGGGGGGCGCTTTGCAGCCGCCGGCCTCTGCCGGGGCGCTGTCCTCGCCCGACCGGGGCGGCTCTCTGCCCGCACCCCGGGTTTTCAGCCCCCCGCGCGCCGGCCTGCAGCCACCTGGTGCGTGGCGGTGAGCGCAGAGCCGAGGTCGGGGGCGGATCTTGTACAGAATGTGCTTGGGAGAGAGAAGGGGCGGTGGATTTATGAGCGTTCACATGGCATTCGGGGTAATTTTTTTCTGAGTTTTTCCAGTCCAGTGGTCGTTTCAGTAAAGCATTTTATATGCTTGTGATAGAAACTCATAAAACTTGGTTCACTACTGTTTTGAACAGCAAGGGTCTGAGTGCTGAGAACATTTACATATTACTGAGTTTTCTGGAACCAGCTTCTAAAAAGGGGCTCATCTACTGGAGAGGGGGTCCCTCAGTCAGGCCGAGGTTTGCTGGGGAATTTGGCTGCGAACTGGACCCCCTGGGAGCGGCTAGCCAGTGGCAGCCTACCCCCCATTTCTGATTTCACAGCGTGGATGAGCGCTAAGACTCTCATTTTTAGTAAGTCTGAAGACTAAATGTTTCTTTACATCGTGAACTATCAGAGCGCTTTTTTTTTTTGTTTTCCATCACAACTGAAGACACACTAGAATTAATTAGATTCAGGAAATGGGCTCCCAGGAGGCTCATGAATAATCCCATCACTAGCTCCCCGGGTAGTTAAGTCAAAATAAAACATGCGATTAATATGGCTGAGGGTCGCTCACTGGAAACCAAAATTACCCATTTGGAAAATTGCATCTGGTGTCTTTCTTTCCTCCTTGTGACAATGAAGTTGTTTGACTCACCCCTTTGCTCTAACCCTCTCTTCTGGAGAACACATCGGTGGCCTCGTCCCTGCGGGTTATGCACCGAAGAATTCCTCAAAGTGAATCTCATATTCATTTGTTTGGTGCTTTCTTTCCCTTCCCTTTCCTCTTCCTGTTTGAAGCCAGGTGTCAGATAAGAGTGACTAAGGCTGACTCAGCCACCTTGACCTCAAGGGATCCGTGTACTTAGTGTATCAAATTTTGTTGGGAACATGAAATTTACTTTAAAAGTATTTTCCAAGGGTATTTGTTATGCTCTGAATTTCCATCGTGTCCCGTTTAGAGTTCCACAAGGCCTTTAGTGGGACCCACCTGACTAATTCTGTGGTTGATTGACCTTGATTGGATTTCAATCAAAACGCATAAAGCCTTTGATTCCTCTTACAGTAACGTCACAGGACACAGCATTGCACACAATAGTCACTGTTACCAAATACTGAATTTCTGTCTGAGCTTCCTAGCAGTCAAAGCAAGAAGGGAAATGCAGTCATGAGGTTTTCATTGCTCAAGCAGGTACTTAACCTTCCTGAACTATATCTGAAATAGAAAAATTATTCCTGTTCTACTGCTCTTTCGGGGTCTTAGTGAGACACATCGAAGTCCCTGTTTTTTTTGTTTTTTTTTTTTGTTTTTTGGTTTTTGGTTTTTTTTTTTGTGATGTAGGAACACTAGGGAGTTACATAAGACCCAACACCATTGCAGTTTCATTAGAACTTCAAATAGCACAAAAGTGGTTGCAGTATCCTGAGACAGACACATGTCAGAGCTGCTCATTGTTGGGAACATCCTGGCATATCCTAAGGGCATAGCACACAGCAGGCAGATGGCTCCAGTGCATTCCACCAGGCTGTCAGTGTGACATCCTCTCTCCCTCTCTCTTTTTCTCTTTTTATATGGGAAATAAAGCTGGTTATTTATGAGCACACTCATCAAGAACAGCCAAGATATTGGACAGATGACAGATCTCCCTCTCATTCATGATTAACTGCACAAAAGGGAATTGAAGCAGAATTGCAATTAAAATTCTATTTGCTTTTGGTCATAATGCAGAAATAAAACTTTATGTCATCATTTTGAAAGGGGAGGAAATTGTACACCACCATTTTCAAAGAAATGTGTCCAGATACCTATCTGTGTTGCCAGAGTGTCCTGCTTTAGAAAGATAAGTCAGTCGGTCTATACAGCAGCTGCTTTTTTCTTCCATCTCTCCATGGGACTGTCTAGGCTCCGACTCCAGCTACACAAACATGTTGGTGCAGACGTGAGCCCTAGGTGGGGTCTGGGTGTCCCGCAGTGAACTGTTTAAATAAGCCGCAAACATTCCCCTGAAATCTGCCTCTTGTTCACGATTAACTGTCTGAAGGGGATCTAGGCAGACAACACAGTGTGTCCTTTTTTTGGGTCTTTTTTAATGAAATAGTAAAATTAAGTATTAACTAGAATGTCACATGTCCAACTTCTGTTTAAAATTTTTTTGGCGCCCTTTATTTTTATTAGCAGTGAAACTCTAGGCAGATGTATCAAACGTGAATTCTTTACTGAAATGGGCTTAAAGTTGTTTCTAATTGCCAGAGGTAGAACACACTTTGATAAAAATGTACCCAGTGGCTGGAATCACCTTTAAATAGGTTCTTTCTGGTGAATGACGACAGGTGTGATTTCCTCAGTGCCCTTCTGTGCCCCAAGAACTCTCAGTTACACGCGATGACATTCTCTCATTAAGTAGCGACGTTTTCACATTAAGTCAGGGTTAAACTCTGTGCTAGCTACTCCGAGGGAACAGGAGCCTCTAGGTTTGCCATCACGGTGAGGAAATTCACAGCAGAGTGGTGTTTCATTTTATAAAAATCTGAATTGTCTAAATCACTCTCTGATTTGTCCATTTGGAAGTATGAAAATAAATTGTAGGTGTTAACAGCCCATCTCAACTCAAAACCTCGTATTAAATTTTCTTCTTGAAGGAAGAAATCTACTTCAGAGGGTAGAGCTTTTATTTACTTTTGCTTTTACGTTAGTGACTCCTGCTCTCAGGCTTATGTACCAACATTCGATTGCAATAGCCACAAAATGGGAGCCGCCTTCAGCCCCGGCGGCTGGTGGGAAGGAGAGGCAGGTCTCTGGCTGGAGAACTGTGTGCGTGCACCTCACGATTTACAGGCACAGTTTATATCTATTTTGATGAGGTAGGTGACGACTTTATTGAATGGCTTAGTGCCATGTTGTTTTTGTTTTTGTTTTTTTGCTAATGTGACCCACTTACTCGCCCTGGCAGGCGGGCAATAGCCTACTGTATGTACAGCTGTGCATTTCTTGAAGAACTTCCCCTACCCTAGAGGCTTAAATTTCTTTACCAGAGTTTATCCAGTATTATACTCGGCAACAAATATACATTTCAAGTAAATGTAGATCTAGATGAAATGGCTGCTTAAAGAAAAATATATATCGGAGACTGAGTGGCAGCACAACCATAAAAAAAATAACCTTGGCGTTGTTGCGGTCGAGATCTAATCCTTTCACTTTGAAAGCAAAAGGACAGCGCTTTATGTTTCCGGACATGACTCGAACCCTGAAACCCAAACCATCTTATTGTAAAATACTGAATTTACCATGGTCAGCAAAACATCCAAACAGTGGAATAAGCACTTCAGAGCCAAGGGTGGGTTTTTCCTCCCAACCCAGAAGAGTCTGTCTGGGGCTGCATTTATCATAGGTGGTGTCCTGGCAGGGAGAGAAGCGATGCAGCAAAACATGAAAAAGCTCTTAGAAGGAAAGCCATCCGTTTTGTAGTTAGCAGGGCTTTACAGATACTGATGTCCTACACGAGGGTCTGTTTTAGTAAGATCAATGTTTGAGACTTGGAGCGTTTGGTAGCAAGAGAGATATATGTGTGTGTAGGTGAGGGACTCAGATTTCTTTCGTCATTCAAAAGCGTGAGTAGGTATGTGAGTTTAAAAGCACCATGTCAACCATAGTTTTGAGTCAAGGTCAGCAGTTTTGTCATTCCAAGTTCTGTTATTTGAAGACTGTTTTACCTCCTAGCCTGAGCATTTTATGATTGACGCTAGTGTTCAGAAAATGCAGTCTTTTAGTTCACGGTCTTCACTCTGTCCTTCTCTAAGTGCGAGGCATGAGAACAGGATCTTTGAAAACAGATAAAACAACTTTGAGAATTTAAACTCAAATCGAAGCCCTAAGCACAGATGCAAGTGTTTTTGCAAGTCGCTGAAGATGTTTCCTTGAAAAGACATTGGATACTTTTTTCTGAAAAAGAGCTTTCAGCAAATCAGAGGTATCACATTTTCTTTAAAAATGTGGACCAGGGGAGTGGGGAATGGGCTCAGAAATGGGGAGTGTATGGGACTATGGTGATGGCACATGGGTGATTTGGTAATGGGAAGCCCATGGGAATTACAACTGAGATGGGAAAAGACACAAAATGATGTAAAAGTAAACTATTATATTAAAAAAAATTTTTTTAATTACAAAAAAAAAATGTGGGCCAGGGAGAAATGCCAGGCCAACAAACACACCCCCCCCCTTTTTTTTTCATTTTTAAATAAGCGACTGAAATTGTGAATCAATATTTTTTAAGTGCCTTGTTAGTAGCTCTCTCACTTTCATTCTGACAGAACTTCACAAGGCTTCTGTGTCACTGCCCTGGGGAAAAGGAGCTTTTTCCTGTCCCCAGTGGCCAGCTGAAATGTTACTGGTTGATTTAAACTTTTTGAGGATTAACAGGAATGACTTGAAAGAAGAATGTTTTGTTTTTCTTCCTCTTTGTGAATGAAGTCATTTCATAACTTTTTACATAAGTCAACATCCATTTGGGTCCTTAGAGAAGACTGGGTTTTGGGGTGGTAAGTAGCTAGGAGGAAGGATTTCTATATCAAGATTCTCTGTTTGCATAGTACTGGAATAATGCCGGAAATAGAACTGTGGAAGTCCTTTTAGGCACAAGATTACTTAGCTGGCCAGAAACATAATTTGTTCTTTTTCTTTAAAAACAGATTTATTTATTTATGCATACAAAACTGGGGTGCAGGCCAGAGGTGCAGTGAGAGGATGCCCCAGAGCCAGAGTGGGGGGCAGAACAGGCAGATGGATGAAGCACACTGCTGAGGGGGGCAGCGGGGAGACAGCGGAGCTCTGCCCGCCCTGGTCCCCTTCCTGACCGGGAATTGAACCCGCGCCGAAGCGGCTGTGACCCGCTTCGCAGAGCTGCGCTTTGACCAGTTGTGTCACCGTAATTTGTCCCTAACAAAAAAGCATCTCGCTTGTCTTAACAAATGGCAGCAGAGGCCAGGGGGAACTTGATCAATCATCTCACCCGCCCTGCCCCCGAGCTGAGGGCTGACGCTAATTTGCAGGCTTGCTCCAGGGGTGGGGGGTGGGGGGGGAGCGTCTCCATTGCTCCCGTGAGGGCACCCGCAGGGCTGCCCCGTTGCAGGAGATCACGCTGCCTCGCTCTGATGGAACCAGGGAGCCACCCAAGCAAACACTGGCGCAAGGCACTTAAAATAACCAGGGGTGCTTGGGGACAGGGCACTCCCTGCGCCTTGCCTGGCCCTCTTCCCTCGGGGCAGGACAGGAGATTTCCACCTGCCCAAAGCTCTTTGCCCCCCCCCCCAGGGCAGTTTCTAAACCCACTTGAGTCTCTTGGGGGCTGGGGGCTGCGTCCACCCAGGGCACCCACCACCCCAGGGCACCCCAGTGCTGGCTCACTGTCCTTGTTGTGTGATTGATCGCTGAAATTGGATCCACTCACCATGGCTCAGAGCCTGCTCTGATGGTGTTTCTGGAACATTCTGCGGCACTATCCATCTGCAGCTGTGTCAGGGATCGCGCTTCAGAGTTTGGGAGAAAAATGACAAGTCCCCAAGGTTAGGAAAGGAGTCTGGGGGCTGCGTAGGATCACAGCGGTGGTGCTGTCCCGGGCATCCCGCGGGGTGTCCACCCCAGTGTGTCTGGAAGTGGGTGGGTCGTGGGGCCACCCAGCCGCGCCCGTGGGTGGTCAGGCCAGTGGTCATCCTGGCCAGGGAAGGCTGGAGACACGTTCCTGGTGGCGTGAAAGGCCTGGCAGTGGCCAGGCTGAGCTCAGAGCTGACCGGGGCAGGGCCTTTGCTGAGGGACTGAGGTGGAGCAGACCCCTGTGACACCAAGCCCGCTCAGCCTGGGTGGACGAGACCCTCCCCAGACCGCACTCCAGACGCGGTGGCTGGGCTCCCGGCCGGTGCCTTCAGGCAGCAGGCAAAGGGTGAGGTCAGGCCTTGGGGTCACCTGCCTCCGGCTCCTCCTCACGTTCCTGTTCTTCCTGCCCAGCACTCAGCTCCTGCGCCTTGTGGGGCAGTGGGAGTGTGGGTTGTAGCCAGAGACCTAGGTTCTGCACCTGCGGACGCACCTTGCCGCACCCCACCCGCCCGACTGTTCTGGGGGAGCGTCTGACTGTCCCCTCCTTCCGTGCTGTGGCAGGTGGAGCTCACGGGCAACAGCATTTACGAGTACATCCACCCTTCCGACCACGACGAGATGACGGCTGTGCTGGCTGCCCACCAGCCGCTCCACCACCACCTGCTGCAAGGTACGTGCTCGGGTGGGAAGAAACGGGGTGAGACCCACGCGGCCCTGCCAGGCGCTCTGGGCTTTGCCCCCACCTGCCCAGACGGCAGGACCAGGCTGGCCAGCGGGGCCGCTCCCCTGCACACAGCACCCGCCCGGGGGCCATCAGCCCCAAGGCCCTGCCCTTCCAGCCCGGCCCGCCCTGTGAGAGTATGTTGGATGCTGGGGGCCAGCAAAGCTGCCCAAGGGCCCCTGCAATACGGGTTCCACCTGGGCTGTTTTTTGTTTTTTTTTAAGTTTATTTTTGTGTAGGAGAACTGGGGTACAGGTCAGAGGTGTGGGGGAATGAGAGGTCTCATCGGAGACAGAGCGGGGAGCAGTACAAGCAGATGGACGAAGCACATTGCTGGGGGGAGCAGCGGGGAGACAGGAGAGGTCTGCGGCGCCCTGGGGGTCACTCCCTGGCCGGGGATCAAACTCAGGCCACAGGGTGACAGTGCCGAGGCTCAACCCCTGGGCTACCGGGGAGGCCCCTTGACCCAGAGTTCCGAGGCTGGAACGCAGGTTTTGTGACCGGGGCGTGTGGGGGTGCCGCAGCTTTAGTCCCTGCAGCGAAGGGTCGGCTTACCCCTGCTGGCAGGTGGTCCGCAGTGAGCCGCCCGACGACCCCTGTGCCCGCAGTTGGCCGACGGAAGCACAGGCCTCCCCGTGCCTTGTCGGTGGGGCGGGCATGGGAGCACCTGGTTTGTGGCCAGCTCTGTGGTCAGGCTTCAGGAGTCCGAGGCGGTGCCGGGTCGCGCTATTTAACAGGTTGAGCAGCTCTCTGGGGAGCTGGGATAGCTGGCTGCGGATGCAGGTGATCCCAGCCGAGTCTCCTCCACAGGATGTTAGGCATTTGAGACGGTCTCCTGAGCGGGCATGTGTGGGCCGTGCGTCCTGGCACCGGCCAGCCAAGAAGCCCTGGTCTGGATGGACAGGTCCACCTCACTGGCCTGGCTCTGTCCAGGGACAAGACCCTCCTCCAGACCGGCCCCTCGGTCCCTCCTGTGGGCAGCGCAGTCAGGACATACATGGTGGGACCATTCAGTGAGGACTGACGCAAAAGTCATTATCCAAGGGGCTCCGTGAATTGTCCTTGTGATGTGCTGGGAAGACAGACGAGGGCTGACCGGGAGCCTCTAGCTGCCTCTGACCATGCAGTGCAGTGATCAGTGGGTCTCTTGTCTGCCTTGGACTGTGGAACCCCAGGGTGGCCAGAATTGCCCAGTGGGACAGATGTCAAAGATGAAGCATTCTGTGTCACCAGCCACAGAAAAGAAAGGAGGCTCCCTCTTCTGCCCCTCTTGGGGAAGGGTCGTTGGAAGGCAGGGAGGAGGCAGCCGGACGAAGACACCCAAGTACCACGTTCGGACCCCCTGGGAGCAGGCCCGAGCCCAGCCCAGACGCGGTCTCCACGAGTCTGGGCAGAGGCAGGCGCTGCCTCGGAGCTGGGCCAGGCCGGGGCCGGGGTCCTTGGAAGTGGCATGTCTGCTTGGATGTCTGCTCGAGACTCTGGCGGACTCTGTGCTGAAGAGAGCTGGGTGAGAAGCTGACAGCCCACCTGAAGCGCTGACCAAGCGGCAGGCCGGCCACGTCCGCGGTGCGCCGTGCCGAGTGTGTCGGAAAGCCCCGGCCTGTCTGCCTTCAGCCCTTCCGCCATTTTGCCCTCCACTGTCACAGCCTTGAGACAATGGGTCGATAACAGCAGGCAGGGCCACTCGGGACTGCCGTAGGCCTCCGCCTCCCCATTCATGGGGCTCAAGAGCGGAAGCAGGCAGGTCTGGAAGAGACGGGGCCGTGCTCTGACTCATTTTGGGCGTCAGGTGCCAGGCCCTGGGTTTCCATTTGTGGGGCTCTTCTCCGAACCGGAGAGGTTCAACCTAGCTGAGCATGGCGGGCGGCGCCATGTCAAGGGAAAGCCCTGTGCCTGCAGCCCCCAGCCCCTGCAGAGGGACTGAGGGGAACACGTTTGCTGCTGCAGGCAGGGAGAAGGGGCCTCTGGGCCATCTCCCTCCCTCACGCAGCGGGCAGAGCCTCTAGGGGTCGGGAGGGCGCGGGGTGTCATGGGGAGGGGGCGGGGGCTTGCTTCCATCCCAGAGAAAGTAAACCTGCTGTAAAAGTGGCTGTGTTAACCACCGCCAGCTGGCTGTTGATCTGGGTGGGGTGACTCCCGGTCACCCAGGGGCGGGCCTGCCTGCGTGCCAGAGGCTGGTGTAGCTGCTGAAGCGAGGGTGTTTCCTTCTCGGGCTTGTTTGCATTTGCAACAGTGAGGTCAATGACCTGTGCCCTGGGCCGTGGGGTTAGTAGGAGAAAGAGTCAGAACCCCAAGCATCCAGCGGGGTGTTGGGGGGGTGTCTGTCCTGGGCTCTGAGTGAGCCAAAAGCTTTGATCTAGAGCTCTGTTCCCCCGTCCACACTGGTGGGGAAGTGCTCAGGGCTGGCTCCCTCCGCCAGGGCAGGGGGCGCGTTCTGCATCCTGGTGTTGGCTGCTATCTGCCGCCTGAGGGAAGTCAGCTGCCCCTGGCTCTGCTGTGGGCACAGGTACCCCCCACAGGTCGCAGGTCCTCCTGGCGCCCCGTCTCTGTGGCCGGGCGGCAGGCACAGGCAGTTGAGTCGAGCTGGGTCCCGTGTTGGTGCCTTCCAAGCTCTGGCTGGGCTGCCTTCCTCTGGGGCAGGTGGGACCCACAAGGGAAGGCGCACCCCTCCCACCCAGGCCAGAGCTCTCCGGGTCAAGGGAGGGGCCGGGGAGCCTGCAACTTGGGTTCCACGGAGGGTCCAGAGGGTTTGTCGACATTGTCGGAAGCGAGACAGGGGCGCTGGGGACAGCGTGGAACCGCCCCACTCCTGCTTTCAGAGTACGAGATAGAGAGGTCCTTCTTTCTTCGGATGAAGTGTGTCTTGGCGAAAAGAAACGCAGGCCTGACGTGCAGCGGATACAAGGTACAGGGGCCCTGGTGTGAGGGAGGGAAAGGCGCCCCGTGGCCACCAACCCAGAAAGGCACATGCCCTGCAGAGGTCGCTGCAACCCAGTTTGCAGAGGCCGGACGCGGGGGTGGCCGCGGTGCGCTGGACACGGGCGGGGTCCGCAGACATGGCCACACCGCCGCTGGTGCTCTTTGGCCGTCGGGACAGATGGGGCTTGGCCACTGACATGGGACCAGGGAGCGGGGTGCCTGTGTAGTGACCTAAGTCAGAAGGGAGGGGCCAGTTCTGCCTGTCTGTACAGTGCGAAGCCGTTTGCCAATGTGAAATACAAAAACCAGTGTCCGGTAATGGGCATTGGGTGGGGGAGGGCCACAGGGGCGCAGGGGCGGGGTGGGAGGGGAGACAGACGGGGAAGGAGCCGAGCTTCGCTCCTGCTGAGCGGCGCTCGGAGTGTTCGGGAGAGGCTGGGCTGGGCCATCCCGTGCTCGGGTGAGACCAGCAGGCCGGCCCAGGCCTCACCTGCTCTCCGCTCTCCAGGTCATCCACTGCAGCGGCTACTTGAAGATCAGGCAGTACGTGCTGGACATGTCCCTGTACGACTCGTGCTACCAGATCGTGGGGCTGGTGGCCGTGGGCCAGTCGCTGCCGCCCAGCGCCATCACGGAGATCAAGCTGCACAGCAACATGTTCATGTTCAGGGCCAGCCTGGACCTGAAGCTGATATTCCTGGACTCCAGGTGAGCGCGCCCTGCCCAGTGCCCGCCGCGGCCAGCCTGCAAGTGGCTCTCTCCTGGAGGGAGCAGGCCGGAGGATGTGGCAAGGGACCCGTGAGCCGCGCCAGGCCCGAGACCCCAGCCGCGGGGCGCAGCTGCTCAGGGGCGTGGCTGGAGCTCTCCATTCCCATGCGCTGTGGCACCTGAGAACTGCAGTGTGTGCCGGGCCACAGGGCCCTTTCCGAGCCTTTGGGGGTCACGGGGGGGCTGTGACACGGGGCCAGGCGGGAGCAGAGGTCCCCTTCTCTGGGGGAACGCTATGGACGCCCCACTGATACGGCCCCAGGGCTGCCCCTGCCAGCTGGGGGTACCCACCCACTGGAGCACCTCTGTAGAGAGGGAAGAGGCCGGATGAGCCCCGACGGGAGGCCTGCAGAGGAGGGGGTCTGCTGGGGAGGCCCTGGCCTGGCCCCCGCGCCACTGTCCCGGGCAGCTGCAGGCCTCACTGGAGGGCTGAGGGGGGCTTGTGATTTTCTTATCTGCACAAAGGGGCAGCCGGTCCTGCCCACTCCACTACTGTCGGGGGCCGGTGGGGAGTGAGAGTAGAGGACAGAGGCGAAGCGTCTGTAAAGGCAAAAAGCTGGATCTACCTGCATCTTGGCCGTAAGGCGCCTCGGCTACGGGATAAGAAGCTGTAATCTGCGGCCTCACCCCCTGACTCTTGGGGTGGGGGGCTTTCGGGAGAAAGGCTGTGCGTACCCACGTTTGTTTTCTGTGTGTCCGAAGCTATGACTGGTCGATTCTTCTTTTCTCTCTCCTACGGCCCCCCGGCTCTGGGTCACCCCTGCCTGGAGTGGTGCCCGAGGTCACTGTTTAAGAACGTCGAAACGTCGAGGAGCTCCAGCTTGTTTGCTTCCTAGTTTTTCTCCGACTGTCCTAGCAACTCCCCCTGGACTTAGCGACTGCTCTGGAGGAGGGAAGCGGGGTGTCCTCAGGGGAGAGGTCTCAGTCTTCCCAGGTGGCTTAGCCCACATGCATAGATGGAGGACATCACGGGAGAGGAGGCGCGAGGTTAGCTGGGGGCCCAGACGGCTCCAGGAGGGAGCCTCCGAGGGTGCTGTCCGGGACGCCAACGTCACTCTCCGTCAGGGCGAGAGGACCGCACCTGGGTGAGTGGGGCAGGACGGAGGTCGGCCGAGGAGGACACCCCGCCCTCACAGAAGGCCCGACTGTGCTTCCTGCTCAGAACCAGGAAGCTTCTAGCAAAGCCTGGCGGCTTATTCTGAACCTCGGTCCTCGAGGGCCTCACAGGGCCAGAAGTGAGCGGGAGGGGTCTTCCCACTCAAGCTGCTTGGCTCCATGGTGTGTAGGCCCACGGGGCGGGCGGGGTGGACCCCCCCGCCCGGTGTGGACATGCCCAGGGCCTCGCGAAGGCTTGGCTTGACACCCACTGCCCCAGAGCCCCAGGGCCAGGGTGCTGGACCCAGCTGGCCCCCACCCAGAACAATCCCTGACACAACTGAACTCAGCATAACCCGAAATTTGGTTCTTCGGGGTTTTGTGGTATTTCACTTTGAAACTGTAGCTGGTGCTTTAGCTAAGGATGGGTGAACCCAGCGATGTTCGGGGTTTGGCAGAGCCCTCTGACAGGTCTCAGACAGTAGAGGTCTGGAAAGGCGGGAGGGCGGGCTGCCAGAGCCTTTCCTTCCCTGTAATTCCTCAAGCCAGCCTGTACTTTGATGAGAAACCTAATACATGTGTTTCTGATTCATTTACACTTGCGGGCCCTTGTTTGAAGCTTTACGTCCAAAGGGTCTGGGAAGCCTCTTTCATCCCTGCGCTGTACAGATGCCTGGCTGGCTTTCTTGGGGGGCAGCCAGACGTCTCAATTTACCTGCCACACAGAGTCAGGCTCCCACGGGGCCTCGTGCTCTCAGTGCTCCCTCTGAGAGCCCAGCTCCTCCGTGCCCTGGGGATGGCACCGGTCCGTGACTCCAGGGACACCCAGGGCTCCCCCAGACCAAGGGTCCACAGCCCACAGAGAGCTCAACAGAGGGGCCTGGGTGAAGGGATGGACAAGAGGCCAGGTCTCCCCGGTTCATCCCCAGCTGACCCTTCAGAATGGGGGGGCCAGCCGCAGCCTCCCTCCCACCCCCGCCCCAGGACGCACCTCCCACCCAGTCTCACCTCCCGTGGGAGCCCTCGTGCCCTCTTTCATCTGTTCTTGAATATCCGTCACCAAGGGGCCCGGCCACCCCCTCCCCAGCGTAGGTCCTGGCTCCGCCATCCAAGGCCTGAGGAATGACGTCATGGACACAAGCAGTCGTCACCTACAGACAGTGACCCAATGCTGGTGACCGCGGCCCGATGTTGAGTGGCCGAAGGGAGGGGGAGGGGTCAGTGTGTCTGGGCCTGGGGAGATTAAAGAGGGCGTGATGGCTCTGAGCCCTGGGGGCTTCCCCCCATATATGTATTTTTTAATTTTGAGTTTTTAAAAATATTTTTTTTGTAGAAGAACTGGGGTGCAGGCCACAGGTGTGAAGGGGTGAGAGGGTTCCCCAGAGACAAAGTAGGGAGCAGAACAGGGGGATCCAGTGAAACCCACTGCTGAGGGGAGCAGCGGGGAGCTAGGCGAGGTCTGTGCATTCTGGGGGTCACTCCCTGGCCGGGGTGGAGCTCAGGCCACTGGTGACACTGCTGAGACTTAATCCCTAAGCTCCCCAGGGAATACCAGGGAGTCCCCATTTCCCTTTCTAGAGCGAGCTTAAGGCGTATCTTCAAGTCTTGATACTTTCGGGGGCCAGCAGGCCTCGCCCAGCTGAGGGTGTCCTCAGAGCAGCCGGGCCACTGTGGGACGGAGACAGCCAGGGCCCACCGTCAGAGGGACGGACGCGAGATGCGAGACGTGGCAGCTGCATAGCAGCGTCATTTCGCCGTGAGAGGGACGGGACACCCCTGGCCCCCCTTCAGCGGGATCAATGGGAAGTGGTCCCCTGGTAGGACGCTGGACACAGGGGGGCAGATAGCGGCCCCTGCAGGAGGCACCTAGAACAATCACATTGCAGAGCGGGAATCCAGGCTGCTGCTGGGGTGCGGTGGGCAGATCCCCAGCTTGGGGGGGGGTCTCGCCTGCACTAGACGCTAGTACTGCCCCTAGATCGCACACTTAGAAACGAAGAGCGTGGTGACGTTTAGGTCGTGCGTGTTTTACTACCACACAAAAAGAGCTTCACACGGAACTGCCCCCCAAGTCCCCAGAGAGTGGGATCTTTCTCCCTTTGGCACCTTCCTCCCAACATCCGCATCAGAATGGCCTCAGCTCCGGGGACTGGCAGCCCTCCCAGACAGCCCCCAGCAGCTTCCAAAGAACATTCCCGCTGATGATAATGCAGTCCCGCACCGGGCTGCCGGCCACCCTTCTTGCAAAAAAAGGTCCTTCTTGGTTTCCACGGTCAGCATGTCCCCTCCGAGCCTGTTAGCACCGGGTTACTCGGCAAACCCAGTGCACGTGCAAGGCCGTCTGCAGAGCAGGTGACTCACCAGCCCCTGTCCCCGCCCAGGGTGACCGAGCTCACGGGGTACGAGCCACAGGACCTGATTGAGAAGACCCTGTACCACCACGTGCACGGCTGTGACGTCTTCCACCTCCGCTACGCGCACCACCTCCGTGAGTCGGGGCCCTGCTGGGCAGGGCTGGGCGTGGGGGACCAGGGCGGGGTGCGGGCGGGGAGCTGGGACAGTCTCCGTCCGCTCTGCGCAGAGTGTGACTCTTTGGTCAAGCACGACCACTTCCTGGCAGGTGTGGATGCTAGGCTGTAGCTTTGCACCCTGAATTTCTCCATGACGTTGGAACCCCGTTTGCAAATAATGGCAACGGCAGCAGCAGAACCGATGCTGACCCGTGTGGGTGATTGAAGCTTCTCCCAGCCAGCCAGGGGTCTTGTGTCCTTCAGACTCTTCTGCTGTGGAGGGTGCTGAGGTTCGGAGAGGTTAAGTCCAGCCTCAGTGGGGGGAGTTGGGGGGCTCCAGGCACAGCAGGCTTCCTGGGATGGAAAGTCAGCATGGAAAGGATAAGTAAGCAGTATCTGATCCGCCGCAGAGGCAGTGGGGGGCATCCGGATTGGGGGGCGGTTGTAGGCTGAAATCTTTGTAGGAGTGACACTTGTCTCCGAGGATCCAGGCTGAGGCAGTGTGCAAGGGGGCAGCATGGAATAGCTCAGCCGCCCTGGCCAGCCCTCTCCTACCCCTGTGCCCAGGGCTGACCCAGACCCTGGGGGGCAGGAGGCGACGCGTGCCCCAGGCTTGACTCAGGCAAGTGGCTGTGGCAGCTGGAGGCAGAGGGCGGCCCAGGGGCAGCCGACTCCGGGGCCAGGTCCTCTGCGGGTGTTCTGTGTGGTCTGGGACCAGGGGGCACGGCGGCTCTTGGGTGGCACTGTCCCCTCCGGTGACCTTGGGCGGGGAGACATGACAAGTGCAAAGCTCTGCAGACACGGGCTCCCCTTCCACCCACAGCAGCCATGCGGAGCCCCCGTGGGTGGCTCCCAACCCCAACAGGGGTGTTCTTCTCGCTGCCCAGCCGCACGGGGTCTGGGGATCAGCATCCCCGAAACGGGGGCTGGACTCTTTTTGGCAAACAGAATCAAACACCGAATTAGATGAATGGGAGCAGCATCTCCCCGGGAGAGGGGAGCCACATGAACCATCTAGAAGGGAGAAAGTGTGGACAGAAAGTGGGAGGGTCACACCTCCACTCCGTTCTGGGGCTCATCCCCGCATTGGGGGTGCTTGCAGGAAGGCACCTGCCTGTGGGAGGCTTCTGTATCCAACGAGGGAGTTGAAATTAAACTCGCGAATTTTCGTGACGGAGTTGCCCACACAGAGGGCTGCTGTGCAGGGGTTAGGCCCCTACATCTGGCCACATTGGCCCTCGTAAATGCCACTTCTGACCTCTCACATGGGGTAAGAGGGGAGCAGGGGTATTTTTTCAGGGGAAATAAGTATAACACAACTTGTGTCTGGGAAACCAGGAAGGCCCACGCCTGGCAGGGGCAGGTTCCCACCCCCCGCTCTTCACATGGGTTCTCACCACCGCCCAGCAGTTGGGAGCTTGCCAGGTGAGCCAGGTGAGAGGGGGCTCTTGTGTACGTTTCCCAGGTGAGCAGGGGAGGCAGAGGCGAGGGCAGCAGCTGAGCCGGGCTGGACCTTCTGCAGTTCCTCGGGGCCTCCCCTTGGGACACGGGCCACGTCTGTCCACCAGGAGCCCCGGCCTTCCGGAGCTCACCTGGCTCGCCAGACCTGCAAGGGGTTTTCGTGGCGATCTGTGATTCATATGCTCAGTTCACCTTCTCTCACTAGGAATTTGGGGTTTCCGGGCACTGCGGTTATCTTAGGAAAGGGAGGGCGTACACAGGTTTCCAGAGGACGCGTAGAAAGTGGGGCGCTCTTCGACACTGGCGGGGGCCTGGCTTTCTTTCCAAATGGACTAGAACTGGTGCACTGAGGCAAGTGGCAAGTAGCTACACTGACGTGATTGCTGCAGGGTGTGACCCTGCCGTACCATGATGGAGAAACCACGCAGGCAAGGAGCGCAGAGCAACCCAGCCAGGCGGGGCCGGTCTCCGATCCGCTCTGCACCCCAAATCTGCCCAGCGTCTCCTCCGCCAGCTTTGCCAGATAAAAGAGGAGAGTTACAGCAAGACGCAGACAGAGGGCCTGTCCCCATGCGGGGTCACCTCCTCTCTCGGGGCTCACACTGCTCCCCAGCAGCGGACCTGCCCCTCGGGTCCCTCCCAAGTCAGAACTTTCGGGGGAGGGGCAAGCTGAAGCCCCCTCCCCGCCTCCAGCTGTTCCCACCTGGCTTGGCCCAGAGACCACACTGGCGCTGACTGGGGCCACCCCAGGGACTGGGCCACCAGCAGCCTCCGCAGCGTCCTGCTCACCGCCACGAGGGACACAGCCGCGGAGACACCGCCGAGCCTCCGGGGACGGCGGGGCAGACGCAGGCAGGGGCCTGTCCTGGCAGCTGACCAGTGTCCGAGCCAGAGCAGAGCAAGCCGCAGCCAGTACCCCAGACCAGAAGAAGGTCACCATCCAGTTTCCACGGCCAAGCTGTCTCCATGCTGGTGCCCAAAGCCCAAAGTCTCTGAGTAGCCGAAGGGCTTTGCCAGGCTCTGCCTCAGACGTAGGAAGCGGCACTTCGGGAAGTCCGAAGGCAGCCAGGTGGTTTTCACACGTTCTTCATAATATTATCTTAACCGGGAGCAGGAGTCCACGGGGCTCGGGAAAGCACAGCCCCTGAAGAGAGGGAACCCAGCACCTTCCAGGAGCGAGCTTCACGAGGCGAGCAGGTAGGGTGCCGTGAGGACTGCCGGGCTGTAGGCGTCCAGAGGTCGGCAAGGCGGCTGGGCACCCCGGCCAGGAGGTGTGGGGAGCCTGGGCCTTCCCAGCTGGGCTCTCCGGGTCAGACCTGCTCCAGAACCTCCTGGAAGCGAAGGTATCCTCTGGAGGGCGCCTTCGAGCCACTGACCTCACCTCCCACCCACCACCCTGGGGGCGGAGGAGAGACCAGTGGCCCTGCGGAGTGTGGACCTGGCACAGCAGAGACAGTCACGTGGCCGCGGGAGGCGCTGATCGCCCACGGCAGGGGAGAGTTCCATCTCTTGTCTAGGCAGGCCCCTGTCCAGAGTGGGCCCAGCCCAGATTAGACAGAACAGTGGCCGTGTCCAACCATCAAAAGGTCTCAAAGCCACAGAAAGACGTCCAAACCTAAAAACGTGGCCTGCGTATTCCCTTTCAAGCAGAAACTTAAAACAAAATTATAGGACAAGTACAGATCTGTGGAGGGCGTAATTTAAATAGATGCACGGGAGTTGGAAACGGAGGCGCTCCGGGCCCGGCAGGAACAGGAAGGCAGGCCTGGCGCGGTAGGGCACAGGGCGTGGTCGCGCCCGGGGCCAGCTGGTGGACCCAGGCCCTGCCGGGTCACTCTGGGCCACAGCAGCACGATGCATCGACGGGGCGCATCTGTGAGCACGTGGCACATGGGGGAAGGGTCTTGAAATAGAAGATAAATTGGAAAGACGTTTCCGATCTGCGGTGAGAACGTGATTGACAGTCCCGGGAGGCTTCCGCTGCGGCCTCATTGGCACTTAGAGTGGAAACGGGCAGCAGTTTGACTCCTGCACAGAGTTTTCTGGGCGCTGCCTTCCCGCTCCCCAGCAGTCTGGAGGGAGATGTGGCTGCTTCTTGCTGGTGAAGATGTGGCAAAGCCTGTGCATTTCAGGGAGCCAGGACCCAAGGCGAGTAACTCATCCTAGAAAGCCCAGCGTGACCGACACGTTTTCCTGCGCCCCGAGCAGTTTACAGGGGTACATGGCCCGGGGCCTCAGCACCTCAGGGCCCCTGCTGGCTCAGGCTCAGCCGTCTGCCACGTCGCTTGGAGACATCCCACACGTGGCCGTGGCGAGATTCTCCCCGGGGACGCTCTCTCCCTCGGGCCTCCCATGCCTTCTCCACGCTGCCGCCGGTGGCTCGGAAGGGTTCTGCTCGTGTGTACAGCCTCTAGCTTCCCATGTGCCCTTGCCTGGGCTCACTGGACAGCTGTAAACGTCTTCATTTTCTGCTGAAGCTCACGCTTCCCAGCACCTACCTGGCACCAAGCGGTAGTCCGATGCTGTCTGAGGCCAGGATATAGCAGCTTCGCTTTCTTCCCAGGGGCTGGCTGTGGGCACGGCTACCTCTTCACCAGGAGCTGTGGGCACCCGGAGGGCCCCTGCTTCTCTGGGTTGCATATTTGTACAAGAATTTCCATCCCACATTGGCCTTGGAGAAGCACAAACTTGCTTTTCTTCTCGGCATGGGGCACCCCAGTGTCAGAACCGTCCGAGAGCTTGATGCTGGCCATGCTACGGTGAAGAGGTTCAGGGCTCAGGCCCTGCCAGGGGCTTCTGGTCCAGGGGGCACCCCCTCCCTGCCCCCACTCACCACCGCCATCCTTGGGACTTACTCATAGCACTGCCCTCTGAGGTCATTTGAGACAGCTGATTAAGAGCAGCAGATCGGACAGACGGGGAGGAATGCTCAGGGAAGAATGTCGTGACTGAGAGGCTCGGGTTTCAGCGAGGGTTGCCAGGCTGACTGTGGCCATGGGTCACAGAGACGAGAAAATAATTCCAGGTCGATGTTTGTTTGGTGCCTGTATCTAAGCCTCACCAGCGCAGTCAGGGTCAGAGATGAGAAAGTCCGCAGCGGTATTTGGGGCCCGCTGGCCTCATGCGTCCCGCTCGACGCGACCACAG